GACAGACGTGTGTAGTGAAAGATAAATTCTGCACGCACCTGGAGTGGAAAGGAATCTGAAAACTTCCTCTGCTCCGTCCTGTACTTCTGGGTCTGGGTTGGAGGGTAGAGACCACCTGGCACCGCTTGGCTTGCTCGAAGCTTGGGTTTTGTCATTTTTAAAAGACATTTTGATTTTGAATGAGGGGAGAAAGAGAAGTCTTGGCAGTTTCTCGGGAATGTGGATTTGTGAGCAGGTTTTTTTAAAAATATATATATATATGGATAGCTTATGTTTTTTGTGTTACTGGTGTTGTTTCTGACAGAGCCTAGTGTGGAAGATGCATGTTTCCTAGGAAGGCTATTTATAAAGAAGAGATTGGATTTATACCCCACCCTTCACTCTGAGTCTCAGAGAGGCTTACAAACTCCTTTCCCTTTCCAAAAGTCTATTTGGAAATGGAGGGAGAAACTGTTCTTTTTAAAAGTAAAATCTAACTGCCTCTGATGAAAGAGTGGGGTAATGTCAAGTGTGAAATGCAGCCAGAGTAGCTGTATTCATGCATGCCCTTCTCACATGTTTGGTTTCAATAGGATTATCTGGCTTGATAAGATGTGGTAGAACTGGACCCGCAGTTACTTCCCTGAGGAGATCAGATAATAGAGATGTAGTCTCTAGCTAACCTTGGTCCAGGCCTTCCCTCCCAGCCTAACTGACCTCACAGGGCTGTTAGAAGGAAACTGAGGAAGGGAATAGGAATGGCATAGGAAGAGCCCTTCCTCCATTTGATGCTCACAACAGCAGCCCTGTGAGGTAGGTTAGGCTGAAAGTGTGTGATTGGCCCAAGGTCCAGGGTTTCTCAGATCCTAATTAGACACCACACTGGCTGTCTTAAGTAACTGCTTCCCTTTTCCCTTTATCTGTGGCTTATTATGAGAAAGACGTCAACCTGAGACCCTGAAGAGCCACTGCCACTCTGAGTACACTGGGGGGGGGGGGGGGGGGGAAGCTTGCAATGCCCAGCCATTTCATGTTTTCCTCTTGGTCGTAGCCTCAGTGTATTGATCATAAGAGCAGGCTGGGGAAAGGGTTTGCTCCCCACTCCAGACACACTCAAGCTTACTACAGCACAGACATTGTCTCCAGATTTTGATTCAAGAATTCAGAGCAAGAGGTGTCAGTTATCAAAGACTGTTAAATAAGCAAAATATTGCAAGTGTTAATGTTTTAAGCATGTTTGTATTTTAAGTCAAAAAATAATATCTTTAATTGTGTTTGTCTGTGTCCGTTATAAAGTTTATATCTCTGGTACCTGGCATTACATTTTATGATACACATGAACTGGCCCAACAAAGTCCCATTTATGTCAGATCCGGCTTTAATAACAAATGAGTTCAACATCCTGGTCTACAGAGCTACAGGAATGCTTCTCTCAATATGATCTATTGCTACTGGTTTCCTAATCTGTACAATAATCATGGGTCAGACTGAGAGCAACACATACAGAACAATTCACTTATGTGGCTCCCACTTGGGGGAATGTCCTAGCCAGCAAGGTGAGCAGGACTCCTACAATTCCAGCATTCCACAAAAGGTGTGCAACAGAATGCAACAGGTAGCCGTGTTAATGTCACAGTATAAAAGAGCAAGAGCCTGGTAGCACCTTAAAGACTAACTAAATTTGTGGCAGGATATGGAGCTTTCATGAGTCACAGCTCACTTCTTCAGATATCTAGACTCAAATCGTTCTGTTTTCTACTGAAACAGGACAGTTTAAGACAGTATTTTAACTATGGAAATAAGGTTGGTTTCTAATTTTCCAGTCTCCTTTTCTTCCCACGCTCCAGGCATTTCTACGCTTTCTCCACAGTGTAAATTCTTTGATGCGAACTTAGTGTCTCCTTCCATGGAAAACTTTTGCCATACCAGGGATTTGCATGATTTCTCCCCTGTATGAATTCTTTCATGGTAAATAAGGCCTCCTTTGCTACGAAAGGGCTTTCCGCACTCCAAGCATTTATAGGGTTTCTCCCCTGTATGAATTCTTTCATGGCAAGTAAGGTTTCCTTTGCTACGAAAGGACTTTCCACACTCCAGACATTTATAGGATTTCTCCCCTCCATGAATTCTTTCATGGCAAGTAAGGTTTCCTTTGCGACTAAAGCACTTTCCACACTCCAGGCATTTATAGGGTTTCTCCCCTGTATGAGTTCTTTCATGGTAAGTAAGGCATCCTTTGCTACGAAAGTACTTTCCACACTCCAGGCATTGATAAGGTTTCTCCCCTGTATGAATTCTTTCATGGTAAATAAGGTTTTTTTTGCTACTAAAGTACTTTCCACACTTCAGGCATTTACATGGTTTGTCCCCTGTATGAATTCTTTGATGGTAAGTAAGGCCTTGTTTGCTAGCAAAGCAGTTGCCACACTCCAGGCATTTATATGGTTTCTCCCCTGTGTGAATTCTTTGATGGAAAGTTAGCCTATCCTTCCGTGGAAAGCTTTCTCCACACTCCAAACATTTATAGGGTTTCTCCCCTGTATGAATTCTTTCATGGTAAGTAAGGTTCCGTTTGCAAGTAAAGCAGTTTCCACACTCCAGGCATTTATATGGGTTCTCACTTGTGTGAATTCTTTGATGGGCAGTTAATATCTTCTTCTGTCGAAAGCTTTTCCCACACTCCAGACATTTATGTGGTTTCTCCCCTGTGTGAATTCTTTGATGGAAAGTTAGCATATCCTTCCGTGGAAAGCTTTTCCCACACTCCAGACATTTATATGGTTTCTCTCCTCTATGAATTTTTTCATGGTAAGTAAGGTTTCCTTTGCTACTAAAATACTTCCCACACTCCAGGCATTTATATGGGTTCTCACCTGTGTGAATTCTTTGATGGACAGTTAATATAGTCTTCTGTCGAAAGCTTTTTCCACACTCCAGACATTTATGTGGTTTCTCTCCTCTGTGAATTCTTTGATGGAAAGTTAGAGTATTCTTCCGTGGAAAGCTTTTTCCGCAATCCAGACATTTATATGGTTTCTCTCCTGTATGAATTCTTTCATGGTCAATAAGGCTTTGTTTGCTAGTAAAGCTGTTTCCACACTCCTGGCATTTATATGGTTTCTCCCCTGTGTGAATTCTCTGATGATACATAAGGTTTCCACTATGCTTGAAGCTTTTCCCACATTCGAGGCATTTATAAGGTTTCTCCCCTGTGTGAATTCTCTGATGATACATAAGGCTTCCACTCTGCTTGAAGTGTTTCAGGCATTTATATGGTTTCTCTCTTGTATAGGTTTGTTGATGGGAAGTAAGCTTGTCACTCCACCTGAACCTTTCTCCACACTCCACGCATTGATATTTTCCCGCCTCTCCCTGAATTCTCTGCATACCCCCAGCTGAAAGAAAGAGACACTTATCATGAACAGTGTGAAAAACAGAGCAGGAACATGAGAGAACGGACTACATTAACTGTGGTCGGGAGTGCAAAACTAGACACACTTTGAGAAGCCTTTGTTGGTAATCTGGTCCTATACTGTTACAGAAAAATCAGGAGTTCAGAGGGGCTTCTCAAAAACGAATCCACAAGCCAGGGAGTTTCTCCTCAGGCAGTGATGCAAGCTACAGGTTGCTTTGTTCTTTGCTCTTCAACCTCCACAGGCACCTTTTCAGCATTCACTCCTTACCCCGGCTCAATGGAGAACCAGCTCTTAGGATAAAGAAGGTCACAAAAGAAACCCACCCGCCCTAGGAAGGAAGAATAAGCCACACTCCGTCCCACCACAGACCTGCCAGTCCCGCCTCTTCAGCCGAGAACAGGAAGAACAGCTCTTCTTCTCCTTCCAGCCAGGAGATCAGGTTGGGTTTGGCAGTCACTGGTCCTTTTCATCATGAAAAAAGAGCAGAAAATTAGACTTCTGTTCCGTGCAGATCAGTTTGACTCTTCCAAGCCAACTTGACTATATCCCTACGGGCACAACAGACAAGTAATAGGTGAGGGGTGGGGTATTGGACCAGGTAGAGGGCAGTGTTCCCTCTAAGCTGAGTTAGTGTGAGTTAGCTCACAGTTTTTTAGCCTCTGGCTCACACATTTTTGTCTTAGCTCAGGAAGGATGGCTCCAGAGGAAACTAAAACTCACACACAACTTTAATGCCAGTAGCTCACAAAGTAGAATTTTTGCTCACAAGACTCCACAGCTTAGAGTGAACATTGGTAGAGGGGCAAAGATCCGGAGAGGAAAATATCACCCAGTGAGTTTTCAGTCTTACGTAAAAAGAATCAGTGAATCTGTCAAAAAAATTGGTTTTTTTACAAAATCTTTACAACTGATTTATTTTTCCGGAGAATAAGAGAGGGTCAGATTTTGGAGACAGCGGACACAGAGGGAACTTAAACCGTTGGGATGGTTGTCTGCCGGCCCCTTCCAAGTCACCCAGCTGCTAAGAACATAAGAGAAGCCATGATGGATCAGGCCAGTAGCCCATCCAGTCCAACACTCTCTGTCACACACTGGCCAAAACCCAGGTAGCATCTGGAGGTCCACCAGTGGGGCCAGAATTGCAGAAGCCCTCCCGCTGTTGCCCCCCCCCCCAAACTCCAAGAATTCACAACATCAATTCCCCAGACTGCGTGTTCCAACTATACTTTGTGGCTAATAGCTACTGACGGACCTCTGCTCCATGTGTTTATCCAATGCCCTCTTGAAGCTGCCAATGCTTGTATCTGCCACCACTTCCCACCGCAGAGAATTCCATGAGTTAATTACTCGTCTGGCCGTCTAAAGGTCACCTGGGTCACATGCAGTGTTCCCTCTAAGCTGAGTTAGTGTGAGTTTTTTAGCCTCCAGCTCACACATCTTTGTCTCAGCTCAGGAAGGAGGGCTCCAGAGCAAACTGATTGATGCCGGAGCCAAATCGCTCGCTCACAACTTTAATGCCAGTAGCGCACAAAGTAGAATTCCTGCTCACAAGACTCCACAGCTTAGAGGGAACATCTAAGGGTCTCTCTATTATATAGAAAATTGCAGGGCTGGGTTCTGTCCCAAGGGCGGGAGAGGTTCGCGAGGGGTAGCCTTTTCAGTAAGTTCTGGGAGCTTCACCTTTCCAAGCTCCCACCAGAGAATCCACTTGGAAACCTAAAATGCTCCAGAGCATGAGGGAATGAGGTCATAGTCATGATGAGACTCAATGGGCAGATCATTTTATCCCGTTCCCCCCCTTCCCTGGAAGGGCTGGAGCTGCAGCCCCCCGACTTCAACGAGGCTAAAAATCCAGGACCGGCCCTGGTAAAGGACCCTCAACACGAATGCTGGAAGGCTTGCAAAACAATTAGTCTCAGGCACCATCCTTGAGAACTTATGAGACTGGCAGAGAGGCCATCCGTGTGTCCTCCACAGTCACATCGCAGCACAGGTGAGGTAAGGTCAGCCTGGAGGAAACGCCCCTGCTTGGATCCGCCCACCCTCTCCAACCCAGCATCTCTTGACGCCCCTTCTGAAGCCCTCTCACGGGGTCCAAAGACTGCTAGAGAGCGCCTCACTTGTGTGCATGGAGAACCCTTGCCAGATGTGTACAAAGGACTACTTAGCCAAATGGACCGACCGCATCCTTCCTCAGCAGCAACTATGAACAAAGAGGAGTCTCAGCCACACCCAACAGCATCGAGGAGAGAAGATCCCTCACCCAGAGCGGCCACGTTCCCAAAATTCTCCAGCATGACCTCCTTGTAGAGAGTTCTCTGGGCTGGGCTCAGCAGGGCCCACTCCCCCCGGGTGAAATACACGGCTACCTCTTCGAAGGACACCGGATCCTGGAGGAGAAGGAGGAGGCGGAAGAAGAAAGTAATCCTTCCCATCACTGGGAAATTGGTCCGTGAGAAATAAATCCAAACACGGGTATTAAAACGATCCCTGAACAGCAGCAGCCAGGAGGGGATCCGGGCCCTGAGGCTTTCCCCTTCCCAGTGCTCCTTGAGGGAATCCAGGGAACAGAGGAATGGCCAGGGCTCTCACGGGGTTACCAGCCTCCCGCCTGCTCTGGCTTCCTCCTCCTTCGACCTCTCTGCTTGACCTCTAGAGGGAAGGCACTTCCGGAGAGAGGAGGATTGGAATATGCAAAAGCACACCGATATGTGGCTGAGAGGAGAGCCAGGGCTTGCCCTCCGGGGTACTGAAGGAGACGCAGATTTTTTTAACTCCGTCCTCGCTTGAACTGCTAACTGGGTGGGGGCGAGACTGGTCGATGCCCTCCTGGGGAGAGCAAGAATGAGTCTGCAGAGCTCCTTCCAAGCAGGGAGAGGAGCAGATCGGTTGAGTCAACGGCCGAAGGAGTGGCAGAGTTGGAGGCTTCTTTCCTGTCACGTCCTGAGAAGAGGGAAGACACAGGCCACGGGTGGAAGAGGGAGAGCACACTCTTGTGGGCGTGACTGAAAATGTTTTCACACATGCTGAGTAACACTTTCAACCCACTTTCAATGTACTTTGCAACTAGAAACTACTGGGCGAAGGGGCAAAAATCGGCTTGCAGACAGTTGCTAAAGTGCTCTGAAAGCAGACTGAAAGTGCTTTACTCAGTGTGTGTGAAAGCACGATGAGGCAGCAAAAAGGGGTGCAAAGCCGAGTGCTGGCCAGGTGAGGGAAAGAAGAGGGGAAAAACATTCACTTCTTCCAGAACTTCTTCTGGCCTTGGGAGTCTGCCTCTTTCCTGGCGCTCAGTCCTAATGAAAGCCAGGTTGGTCTCCCAGAAGGCAGCAATTTTCTCGAGCAGTTTGTCTGGATTGCTCATGTCAATCGACCCAAATACCTTGACGTTAATGACCAGATGTGATTGGAGAGGGATTGTGCTCAAAGTATCCAAGGGAACACCTATTTTCTCCTAAGGAGCCTCTGCTGAAGTCTCCAGCATGAGTGGAGTCCAGACTGGCATCCAACTCCAGCAGGGTCTGTAGGGTGGTTGCCCCAATGGAGTGTACATTTCAAAAAGCAAGTGCATTCCTGACATTATAGCATACTAGGAAAAAGGCCCATTGTTGAAATAAATATGAGCTCTAGAAAGAGGCTCTGGGTGGGTGCCCTGGCCTTAGGCACTTAGGGTCAATTTGCTGTGGCATCCTCAGCAGGGTATAATGACACAGAGTCCACCGTTTTCTCCAGGGGAACTGATCTCTGCCATCTGAAGAGCAGTTGTAATTCTGAGTGATTTCCAGCCCGCACCTGGAGATTGGCAACAATGGTTCCCCAGGAGGAAATGGCTGGTTTGGATGGTGAAGTCTATGGCATTGTACCTGTCTGAGGTCCCACCCCTTCTCAAACTTCACCCTCTCCAGGCTCCACCCCTCAAATCTCCAGGAATTTCCCAACCTGGATTGGGCAACCCTATCTCCTTCCCACCCAACCATCAACCTACCCTCTATAGCATTCTATTCAGCTGAGGCTTCTCCCCTCCCCAAACTCCCCAAACTCTGGCTTCCATAGACTTCACCACAAAATCTCCAGGAATTTCCTGACCTGAAGCTGGCAACCCTAGTCAGGACTGGCCCCAATGCGTTCAGGCCGTAGTAGGCCTGGAAAGGGCTTCCTGCTCCTGCCTTTTTACTGACAGAACCAAGCTTGGTTGCCTAGCAACAGCCAGAGGGGAAAGTGAGCCCCACAGCAGGAGAAGAGAATGGTTTGACGGCTGGTGGCTCACCTCAGTAGCCAGCCAGCCACGGAGGAGCCAAGTAGCAGTAGAGCCAGCCATTTTGGCAGTTTATTCAGGCAGGGAAGAGAGACCAAGCCGGCAATGGGTGGGGGACAGGAGCGGACCCAGCACCCAACCAATGGTACGTGAGTACTCTTGAGTGGCAGTTGACTGGCCAATGGCTGGTGGAGTGCACAGCAGAGCCAATGGGAGAGCCGGAAGGTGCCAATACGCTAGGGCTTTTATATATGTAGTATACTGCACATGGCAATTTGGGGGGGAGGGGCAAACGCGGAGGGCTGTGGCTTGTCCGCTGGGAAAACGGGAGCCCCAAACATTGTGCATGTATGAAAACTGCACATGTGGCTCTCCATGAGCCACAGAGTGAGTACCACCAATGAAGACACTTGAGCTTTTCTTTTTGCTAACTACCCTTTTTGCATTCAGCTTTCTGATAAATATACAGCCAAGCCTCTGAAGAGGAGCTTGGTGGCAGGAGTTAGCACGACTTCTGATCCCTGAATTTCTCACTTTAGCATCTCTCTTTTCCCCTCCTTTTTCGGTTAGCGTGCACCACTTGAATTCATTTTTAAGATCATCCGTAAAGAGCATACAATGAACTTTAATACGACCTACAAGTGTTGATGTATGAATACCTGGGAATATTAAAAGTGGAGTTAGATCTAAAGTAGTGAATAAAGGTTGTTGGCCAGTTTGATCATCCCCCACCCCTGATATATTTCTGGGCTGGGCAACATCTGGATTCCCATTCTTAAGAATATAAGAAGAGCCCTGCTGGATCAGACCAATAGTCCATCTAGTCCAGCGTCCTGTCTTACACAGTGGCCAGCCAGTTCCTCTAGAGGGCCAACAACAGGGCAGAGAGGCGGAGGAGCAGGAGGAGATTGGATTTATACCCCGCCCTTCACTCGGGAGTCTCAGAGCAGCTTACAATCTCCTTTCCCTTCCCCTCCCCACAACAGACACCCTGTGAGGTAGGTGGGGCTGAGAGAGCTCTGAGAGAACTGCTCTCGAGAACAGCTCTGCAAGAACTGTGGCTGACCCAAGGTCACCCAGCAGCTGCATGTGGAGGAGTGGGGAATCAAATTCGGTTCTTCAGATTAGAGTCTGCTGCTCTTAACCACCACACCAAACCGGATGAAAGATCACCAAGAAAAATCATATCCCAATACTGTCTCCCAGATTTCCCACAGAACTGAATTTCTGTGTATTTCTGGCCACTGTGTGATACAAAGTGTTGGACTGGATGGGCCTTTGGCCTGATCCAACATTGACATCTCTTATGTTCTGACCACTGGCCTCTTCACTAAGAACTACGTTTTTAGGGGATGACAAGAGAGTACTTTGGATCACCTAAAAATATCTTTTGAAAGCCAGCTAGAGTGACAAACTGGGACCTGAGAGACCCAGGTTCGAATCCCCACTCTGCAATGAAAACTTGCCAGGTGACCTTCAGCCAGTTACATGCTCTCGGCCTAACATACCTCATAAGGTCATTCTGAGGATAAAATGGAGAAGAGGAGAATGATGTAAGTCATGTTGGGTCCCCTTTGTGGAGAAAGGTAAAGGTTCCCTTGCTCGAAAGCCAGTCGAGTCCGACTCTAGGGTTGCTGTGCTCATCTCCGTTTCCAAGCCGAAGAGCCAGTGCTGTCCGAAGACGTTTCCGTGGTCATGTGGCATGACTAAACACCAAGGCGCACGGAACGGTGTTACCTTCCCACCGAAGTGGTCCCTATTTATCTACTTGCAATTTCTTGCTTTCAAACTGTTAGGTTGGCAGTAGCTGGAACTAGAGACGGGAGCTCACTCCGTCATGTGGCACACTCGGGTCTTGAACTGCTGAACTACCAACTTTCGACAGCCTGCAGTTCAGCGTCTTAACCACTTGAGCCACCACAGCTCCTTTTGTGGAGATAGGAGGGGCATGAAAGAATCAAATAATAAAAATTTCATCTCACAGTGAATTCCAGGTCTTCTGGCCCGTTTCTAGAGAAGGAGCAGTGTTGCTTCTTTCTCCAACCAGTTACTGGTAGGAGCCCAGATCCTTTTTCCTACGGCACAAGCGAACCTGACAAGACTTTTATAAAGGTTTCTCAACAGCCACCTTCCAACTGTCAAGAATTGCAAACTGGACTTCTGCCACGCGTTCCACAGGGAATATCACCCCCCACACACACACAAACACCTTTTTGGTTTGGCTGAGGAACTTCTACCAAAGCTTCACATCTAGCCTTCCACTAGGGCTGCTAATTCCAGTTCCGGAAGCTCCTCAAGATTGCTTGTAGAGGGCAGAATTTGGGTAGGGAGTTCAGCA